ACTCATTTAACAGTAGGTTGGACAAACTCCTCCATTTCAGAGAAGGTCCTGCCCCAAACCAGAAGGAAGGAATGCATACTCAGAGAAGCCCAGAAGAATCCAGACAGACAGGCCTTGCTGGGTTTCCCCAGTCAGATTATTAGCATGAGATCATACCAGTTTTGTCTAATCATATTTCTCTGTGGCTGTCCATAGTTTTTTGAACCTAAGCATAAAAATGGAAAATTTCCTCTGTATTTTTCGGTCTTCATTCTGAAGGCTCCTGTGCATTCACATTAAATAAATTTGTGTGCCTTTTCTCCAGTTAGCCTTTGTGAACTGATTTTTCAGCAAACCTTCTATAGAAAGTAGAGTTCATGTGTTCTATTTAACAATCCATAAAGTCCCAAGTTATTTGTGTTCTACAATTGACCTATTTTCACAGAATTATATGTGTCAGAGGAAAAAAGAAAGCAGAGTGATATAATAGAAGGTACATGTGGTTTGGTTTAGAATCTGTTCTGAACTTTTGGCTCCTCTACCTATTATCTAAGGGACCTTATACAAGGCACTTACGCTCTCGAAGCCTCAGCTTCTACCTCTTTGGAGTTCACAAAAGAATACCTCTCACAGCTGAGAAAATGAAGTGTGACAATGTACGTGATTCTCTCAGCATGTGGAAGGCCAGTTAATATTGAAAAGCCCCAGGACAGATCAGCTGATCTTATCACCTTGGCTCAGAAATAACACCTTCCATTTGAAACCTGTTCCTCCTCTTGGATTTTCTTGCAAGTGAACACCATGTAAATCCGCCCCAGAAACCCAGGACACATCCTTTTCTCTCACCCTCCATGATCAAGTCATATAAACTCTAGTCTCTAAATAGATCTTAAATCTGTGGATGGGTTGCCTTTCTCAACCTCTTTCACTATCCAAGATCACCAGCCTCTCTAGCTTAGATGCTCCTCTTCACTGAGTTTCCTGTCTCAGCTTTGTTGCCCTCCCATCCATCACCAGCCAAGCAGATCTTACTGTCTCAGCTCTTCAGTCATCCGCTTACATCAGGAAAAGCTCACCCAATTTCTTAACATGACCTGTAACACACTTCATGATCAACATTGCTTACTTCCCAGGCTTCTCTCTTGCTTCTCCTCTGTTCCCTTCTGGCCCAGCAGTTGAAAGAAACTACCCTTCATTTAGGACTTGTAACTCTCAGACATACTCCCTTTCACCTCCAGACACAGGCTGCTGCACGTTTGTGCTTCCTCCTGGATGGACTGCTCTTTTTCCAAGGCTTCTCTTCACTTGGGCAACAACTAATCAAAACTGAGGCCTTGGCACAGATAACACTTTGTCACTTGATGGTATCCCAAGTATGTAGAATTGGCCGTAACATGTATTTCATGCCACAGGAGTCTGGATTGCTGAGAGTCACACAGGTTGGAGGTGGTGGTGTGAGGAGAAGACACAGGCCTCCTGCCATGTGTTGTGGTGTCCCTCCTCCTCCATCATGCTGATGTCAGGCCTATTCATCTCCATTGCATTTGCTCTCTTCGTTAAGACTTAAAAACATTATTTTCATGTGCGTTCAAAATGTTGTACATTGATTGTGGGTTATGGGTTTAGTACCTACAACAAACCCAGTGTCACTTCCTCTCCAAAGCCTTCTTTGACTCTCCTTGCCAGTGGAAGTCATGGCTTCTGTGATCTTGTGGCACTTGCAAACATTCCTGCAAGATTTTTCATACTTATCTCCTTCCCATGATGTTATGAATGGTTCTGAAACAAGGACTACTCTGGATTCATTTTACATCTCTGGTACCCAGGGCTGTTCTTGGGACAGACAACCACTGAGTTATTTGTTGAACTTAATTCCACTCCAGAGCTGAAAAAAAAACTGAACGAGGGCAACCAAAGACATGCCACACACAAACACACAGAAAAAGATGCAAGTATGAAAAAAGAAAAACTAAGATCATGGCTCTGCCTTCTGGAGATACAGAGTTTAAGAAAAGGCCTGGCTCTGGCTAACATAAAGACCAAGAAGGCAATAGAGAAGTTGGTGCAACTATAGGAAAAGACGTCCTCTCCAGGTGAGTACCAGCAATCCTTCAGTGGCCCTCCTGCATCTTTGAATTCAGGATGGAGAACTGGAATTGGGAAGGAAGACACTCTCACTTTCATAGAGCTGGACAACTAAGTGCACTTTCTATGGTCTGGAAGCCCAATATCAGCGCTAGAAAAGCTGGTTTCACAATGTTACAGGTTTTTAAAATGACAGGATTAAAGTCATCCAATTGTGATAGAAATGAAACTAAGCCTGGGACAGGAATCTAACTATTAGTCCTGGTTTTCTCCTGGGCCTTGGGCAAATCTCTGAATTTAATTCCCTCCTCCACAAAATAAGAGGTTTGAACTAGGTGATCTCCAAGGATGTTTTCTGGTTCAGGAAATCTGCAATTTATGGGCTTGATACAGGGATTTACGTAAAGTACCTACATAGCCAAGGGTGAGAAGACAGTCAGTCTCATTAATGTATGTACAGCAGACATCCAAACTCTTCATTTTCTTTCTTTACTTGATCTGGACTAGCAGAAGCACACAAGCATGATTACATCCCTTCATGCATACATGGTAAGCAGCACAGCCAAAACCTTCTTTAACAAAAACTTGGAGATGCAGTGAAGCTGTGAAGCAGGAGTTTTCAAAATATCATAAGCAATGAGGCAGTTTTTTTGAAAACACAAGTTCCAAGGCCGTGCTGCAGATCTGCTGCTAAATCGGGATCTCCAAGATAGAGCCCTAGAAATGGTATTTTTTATACAGCTCCCCTTTGATTTTGATTTGGCGATCATTTTTAAAGGAAAATTTGTGTTTCTCAAGGAGTAGCTTATGAATTACTTTCATATGAGTTATCTAAGATGCTTGTTAATAGCTGGAAGTGTGACCAAGAATCTGCATTATAACAATTCTTCCAGTGACTTTATAAACACCAATATCATCCATAACATAGTGCATATATGTTTACGAATAAAATCTTTACAAGGACTAAACCTCATGATCTAGAACACAATATAGTAAAGATAGGAAATCATGATTGCAGTATAGGTTAATGTCATTGTTAATACTTAAATTTTTCATTTCCTTTAAGCTCCAAGACAATCCTGTGATATCAGAATGGTTACCCTCATTTTACTGACAAACTGAAGTGTTAGGAAGTTCAGGCAACTTACCCGGAATTACAAGATAAATAAATGTATGCATTAAAACTGAAAACGAATGCCACAAAGCTATGAAACAGCCTATATTGCTGCAAAATGTGTAGTTAAGCACTTAATACACCTTTTAATTAAACAATTGCTGAGGTCTTATCTGATGAAGCAAGATAGAAATACATCTTAGTTCCTGTTGGTTCGTTTTATTAGCTGCTACACAAATGTTAATGTCATATAATAATCAAGATAAAGTGACTGTTTACTAAGCAGCAATAGTTCAGTGATTTCCTGGAATCATAAAATGATCTAAGGTAGTCATCATTTTAGTCAACAACCCTCAAACACAAATATTTATAGTTGTGAAGCCCAGAATTGTGCTGTCCAAGGTCTTATATAGCTAGTTAGGAGCCCACTCAGCTCCAGACCTTAGTTGCATGACTTTGTTTTACTGATCTTCTTTACACTGGGGACCCCAATCCCTAGGCCAATCCATGGCCTGGTACCAATCCACAGCCTGTTAGTTACTGGGCCACACAGCAGGAGGTGAGCAACAGCTGAGTAAGCAAAGCTTCATCTGTATTTACAGCCACTCCACATCACTCACATTACCACTTGAGCTTTGTCTCCTGTCAGACTAGTGGTGGCATTAGATTCTCATAGGAGCATGAACCTATTGTGAACTACACATGTGAGGGATCTAGGTTGTATGATTCTTATGAAAATCTAATGCCTGATGACCTGTCACTGTCTCCCATCACCCCCAGGTGGGACCATCTAGTTGCAGGAAAACAAGCTCAGGGCTCCCACTCATTCTATATGATGATAAACTATATAATTATTTCATTATATATTATAATGTAATAATAACATAAATAACATGCACAATAAATGTAATGTGCTTGAATCATCTCGAAACCGTCCTTACCCTCTCCAACCCCAAGTCTGTAGAAAATTTGTTTTCCGTAAAGCCAGTCCCTGGTACCAAAAATGGCTGGGGACTGCTGCTTTACACCATTGACTCTGTGTTCTTGAATTCAATATGCTGATTATTTGCTTCAGTGTTACAATAACACTTCATTAGACATGAAGATTTTTTTCAGGGACTAAAACATAAAATGCTATCATTACAGATACATTTTTAGGACAAAGTTTGCTTTTTTTCTTTTTTCACTTATGAGTTCTTCTAAATTAATCTAATAAAACATTCATAAAAATGTGTGCTTATCTTTAACTCTGGTAAATTAAAATAGAAAAAGTCTCCCAGATTCCTCATTCTTGAGTTGATCAATTTCAGATATAGGATGATAAATAATAGGCTTTTCATAATTATTATGAAACTGCATGGACCTTAGCTATTATGAGACCTAGCTTTGATTTTTAAAAAAATTTCAGTAAAAGTGGTCATATAAAATCTATATTAACTTTTAACAGAATACAGATTCTCCCTTTTCCTGTGGACCTTTTTGTCTTTTTTCTCATTGATATGACAAACTTTCTAAAATATATGGACATACATATATTTTCACAAAAGGAAAAAAGGCATCATCAAAGAGAAATTTCCAAAGAATAAACCAAATATTTTTGAGCTATAGATAGATTTGGTGAAGGTTTTCTAATTTAGGCTTTGGTTTATTTATTTTGTTGTTTGAGGAATGGTAGATTTTTGCACATGTATTACTCTCATTCAAATTTTGCATACCACTTCAGAGTAAATATCCATTTCCTGTCAAGTGTTTTATAGTAGGAACGATATCTTTCACAACATCAATATATAATTTCCTAAATAAAGAAGAAAAGGATACTTACAAATCTCTGCTTAAAATATGTTGTTCTTTTCTGAGACAGGTTTAAGAAGAAATTCTGGTTAACTTTCTTTCCTAAAAATTAAAAAAAAAATACTATGAAAAACCAGAAAAGGTAGCAATTCGGTTAATTAATCAAATTTTAAATATTTTTCAGCGTTTTAAAACATTTAGTCAAAACTGATAAACACTATGACTTGCCTGACTTTCTTGGGAAAAACAGAACCTATAATTCAATAGTAAAGTTTTCTGTTAAAAGTCAAAAGGGCTTTATTTAAAATGACAGTTATTAGTTCTTAGGATCATGAGCTACAAAATCCAGTAAATAATTGCTGCATTGATGCTGTTAGGGATCAATGTCAAGTTGAGAAAATCATCATGTAAAAACAACTGATCATTACAGGAAACATTTGTAGCCACATAAAAATAATTGTAGGAGAATACTTGGCATCATACCACCTTTGGAAGTTTGTAGAAATACATCACACGTTGAGTATATAATTACAGAGAATCTTGTGCACCCTTCGTAAGTGTCCTGAAGCATTGTACCAACATTCCCAGTTCCCACATAAGGATCATGTCAAAGGAATCTAATCATCTTGCGCTTGGAAATCAAAATAATCTACCTATGCATAATTCCTACTCACAGAATAGGCCTTATATTTCAGGGCTTGGCATCTGGCATAAAACAGGTGAAAAATAGGCTGGGCGCGGTGGCTCATGCCTGTAATCCCAGCACTTTGGGAGGCTGAGGCAGGTGGATCACGAGGTCAGGGGATGGAGACCATTCTGGCCAACATGGTAAAACTCCGTCTCTACTAAAATACAAAAAATTAGCCGGGTGTGGTGGCACATGTCTGTAGTCCCAGCTACTTGGGGTCCTGAGGCAGGGGAATTGCTTGAACCAGGAGGTGGAGGTTCCAGTGAGCCAGGATTGCACCACTGCACTCCAGGTTGGCATCAGAGAAAGACTCCATCTCAAAAAACAACAACAACAACAACAAAAAGAACAGAAGGGTGAAAAATAATGGGAGTATGAACCATCGGTATGCACATTAACCACTGGTAGCAATAAGGCACTTTGCAAATTCCTTTCACCACACTCTCACTGCCTTAGTTCAACCTCCCTTTCACTATTCCTGGGCTGTGGCAACAACGTCCTAATGATTTTCTTGTATGCATTCGTGATTCTTGCAAATTCATCCTTTACACAAGTATCAGGTGGAATTATTTCAAAGTAAATATAGTCATAATTATTCTATAATTAACGCTTATTAGCTTGCCTATCACCTACAATATCAAGAGTCCACATCCCTTCACGTGGTACATGATGCCCTCTAAGAACTAGCCCCACTCTACTTCTTCCTTTTCACTCATGCCCAACCTGCACGAATCCTAGAGCTCCACAGTCACACTCCACCAGTAGAATTCTGTGCTTTCTTTCTGTAGCTCCTATGGCTGAGTTTCTTTGCCTTCAATCTCCTCCCCATCCCCTTGCTAGTATGTCTTCTTCATCTACTCTGGGTCAACTTGGGCAACACTTTTCAGAGCCTTCTATGCCTCCCTCAGTCTAGGCAGGTTCCTCCCTGTGTGCTTTAAAACATCCTGGTATATATCTGTCTTTGTGCTTATCACATGCATTACACATTTTGGATTAGTGTCTGCCTTCCTGTTGCAAACACATTTTTTTAAGCCTTTTGAGGGCACGGACTGTGACTCATTTGTCTTGTCCCCAGCGCAGTGTCTCACAGATGGTAGGAGGAGTGCAATAAATATCTGTTGAATGTCAAGGTGCATTAGGTGTTTTTCAGACTTAGCGCTGCCTGAATGCATATTTTACCACCTTGGAAGAATTTTAAAATCAAAAGCAGACATCATTTTAACCTTGTTCCCATACTCAGGTTCTCAAATGATCTTTGCTCTTCCCCTCATTCTTTCCCTTGGACTTTTTCCTTCAATAAGTCCTATATGTCCAGAGCAAATATAAGGAACTAAGAAGAGGAAGTGAAATATAAATGAAGAATGATGATACAGAAAGTAGTAAAAAGATAAAAAACTGGTAAACTTCAAAACTTATATAATGTAATGTAAATATGGACTCCTAAATGACACGATGAAGGAAACAAAGTTTTGTAGTACTAATTTTTTTAACCATTTGGACACAGTTCTTGGCAAAGGTCTAGTAAAAACTATAAATAAAGTCTTAAATACTAAACATTGCTATTTGCATTTTTAAAATGCATGTTTAAAATATGCCTATAATTTTATACCCTTTCCATGGTTAATTTTTTTTTTATTTTACAGAAATTCACCTATCCCTGTCTATTGCAATACAACCAAAAAATAAAAAATAAAAAAATAAATAAATAAAAGAAAGAAAGAAAGAAAGAGGAGTGAAATAGTTATTCTTTTCCTCTCCACTTCTTTGCAGTTTATGTTACATACAAATATGCCTATATGGTGGACTTTGAAAATATTCCATCCATATTTTTTTATTACTGACATACATAAAAATTCAGATTTAATGAGGATATGCTTAACACAAAAATACTAAAGGTTAAGAAACTGTCAGAGTCTACTCATCTTTTAAAATATCAATTATCAAATATTTTATTAACAAAAGTGCAGTAATTCTTGAAAAGGTTTCAAGAAGAGTAACATGCCCCTAACAAATACAAAAATAATTTTTGTATGTACATATCTCCTATATATAAATATTTATCCTATAAATTATTTCTATACTAATAGTCTATTATAACGTATTTGCTATATTATAATTATTATAAATGTCACATTAACATACAGTAGAAATAAAATATAAATAGGTATAATTAGATGTTTTCTCTCTCTCTCTCTCACTCTCTCTCTCCAGCTAATTATAACCACCGCCTCAGTTCAAACAATTCTCTTGCCTCAGCCTCCCCAGTAGCTGGGGCTACAGGTGCACACCGCTACGTCTGGTGTTTCAGTAGAGAGGGTTTCACCGTTTTTCCCAGACTAGTAGCGAACTCCTGAGCTCAGGCAATCTGTCTGCCTCGCCCTCCCAAAGTGCTGGGATTATAGGCGTGAGCCACCAGGCCTAGCCAGAATATTTTCTTCCTCAGTTAATCCCTTAGCAGAAGGCCTATGTTCAAAATGGAGACAAGCAGAACTGCTCTGGGTACCTCGGGTTTCAAGGTCTGATGCTCTATCCACTCTCCCTCCCTCCTACTCCTCTTCTCCCCTCAGGCAAAACTACATGTCAACACCGACACTTTAGAGATGAGGTTACCAGGCTGGAGATGGAACTGTAGGAGCATTTCAAGAAAGATGTAATAACCTAGCTAAAAATATTAATCTTGGTGCTTGTCCATCCTCCTTTTCGATGGATTATCAGTCCTTGTTGCAGGGACTGGTGTCTCTGCATGTCCCAAGCTGACCCCAGTTGTAAATATAAATACTTAAACTATGAACTGATAGGACTTATGGTAGTTTTTGGTACTAGGGTTTGGTAAAATAATAAATTTTATTTTTTCTTCCAAATATGTGTTTTCTATCTTGAGTTTTAATTGCTCAATCAGCCAACCATGTTAATATGCAAATAATATGCATAAAGGAGAAGACTCTATCAGATCTCAAGCACAAAATTTCAGGGGGTACCCAAAACCTCAGAAATCAAGATAAATAACATGTAAACACCAAACATTTTAAAAATAAAAATTTATGCAATGATCTATGATAAACAAAATATCAAAATTTTAAATATAGATTTAACCCTGAATTTGTATAACTTAGCCTTATATATCTCACCTGGTTCAATGACTTCTCTGAAAAATGAATTGTAAATATAAAAATCATGTCAGGTTAGTTACATTATGCAAATTTCTGCCTCAAAACACCAAGGACTGTAGAAGGAGAAGCAAATGTAGTTTGGAGGACAAAGTCCAGTCAAAGGCATGTTCTGGTAAAGGTTTTATACTTTGGTCTGTAAGACTGGGGATCAGGTTTAGTTGCTTGGGAACAAATAGGCAACTAGACAGCTATAGCACATGAGATAAGACCTAGCCTATGCTTTCATTTAAACTATTTTACAATGTCAATGAGCCACTAAATCTAGTTATTGCTGCTTCAATAAGTATTCTTTTAATATATTTTTTAAAGGCATGGCATAGTTCTAAAATATATAAAAACCTCAAAGTTAAAATGCATCTAGTCACCATCATCTGACTGTGTGAAGCAAATTAACCATTTCAACTGTAAGACTTAGTTTTAAAAGTCTACTCTTAAGAAGATGCATTTAACCTCTCAAGCAGTTCAATGGTTAAAACAATTATCACAGAGATGAATCATGATGACATTAAAAAGAATGAGCATTCATGAAGATGTTTCTGCCCACCAACTCAAATGAACTATCTTAGGAGAATGAATGATTCTGCCTGATACATAGTAAGCACTCAGCATATATATAATGAATGAATGAAATAATAAAAGTTGAAAGATGTCTGGAAACAGGTATACTAGGACTAGATGATAAAGAACACTGAAACAGAGACTTCATGCTGTGGGCATTGAGCAAAGGTTTGACAAGGTTTAACAATAACAACAGCAACAAATGTGATTCCTTACAAGAAAGAATGGGTGATGGGTGGATTGATAGTAAGCAAATAGCAAATCTAGCAAAAGTTTTTAGAAATAGCCGTGGCAATGGGCAATAAGGACCCAGTAAGGGATGAAGGCTATAAAAGTGGAGGAAGACAAGTGTAGGGAATACTGCTGGCTAGCTGCAATTTGCTCCTCTCTCCCCCTCTATAAAATAGAAACTTAGCTGGTTTCATAGTCACAGACAGTATTACTAAGCCTTCCATGCTGCTAGGTCATGCAGCTGGATTTCTTCATTAACTATGGCTATATGCAGAAGTTATATATTCCACTTCCAGGTTATATGCTGAAAGAGAAGGGAATGTGGTCTCTCCCTCCTCTTTTGCTCTTTCTGAAAACTGGGCTGCATCTGTGGTTATGAGTCATGCTCCATGAGGTGGACAAACACTATACCCTGGAGATTTCAAAGCAACTAGATGGAAGGGGCCTGCATCCCT